ACTACTACTACTACTACTACTACTACTACTACTACTACTACTACTACTACTATTACTACTACTACTGTTACCACCAACGAAGTATCTTGTAAAGACAGCTGTCTATGCGTATCTGTAATATTTTGCTGTTGGAGGTAGTAGTTCTCCAAGTTTCAGTTCTGTACAATGTGACTTCATGTATGTGTGCTAAAGTTAATCTTTTCCATCAATTTGTATCCAAATGAGTTCCACTTATTCCCAATACAGTCAGGTTGTGTTTTCTTATTTTTACTACTGTTCGAATGAGTCTTTGGGTCTCTCATACTGTTCGGACATCATATTATTTGTTGCTCCGGTTATCAGAAGGGGCATCAAACTATTGGTTTTCAAGGAATCCCAGCTTTCACCAAGAGGTGTCACAACTCTTCTGCATGCAGAATCTCCAACTTTTAGGACAGAGTTTAAGTATTTTGAATGGCTTTTTGGTTAGTTTTATTTCAGCGAAGTTGGATTTTACGAGGTGGTTTAGCTAACCGTACATTTAACCCTGTTCGTTTACCCGAGATTGTAACCGATAATAACTTTAGAGGGACTCCAGTAGTTTGAAAAGTCCAAAAATAAATGAAATGATTATCAAGTACTGGATAATTTTCAACGATTCTCCATCGGATATCAATCCATGATGTCTTTTCACTTTTATAATCATTGTACACAGTACATTCGTCCATGCAATTTATTTTATTAACATTTGCTTTAATTTATGCTGTAGTTTTAAAAACTTATGATCAATTAATTAACATATTCGTTGGTATACAATATAATTTATTCATATTATTAGTGTTACTCTTTACAAAACAACAACACTGTTTTTATATTGATTATTTATCACTACTAATCCCCATTGTTCTGTGGGTGACTACTTTGCATGTCACAAAGATTGTTTATATTTTTAAAGTATTTACCATTTGTTTAATAATTAGACATTTTCTTCACTGAGATCGCCAATTGGTCTAGGTTAGATAGCCACTAAAAATCTGAAAACACTGGACAGGTACTTCGCTGTAGTATGGGATAGCTCAAAGATGCGCCTCCACAAACCGACAATCGAGATTCGAGTCCATGACTCTCAGTTCCGCTCGCGAATGCTTGATCTCTAAACCACTAAACCAGAATCCATTAGGGTGCAAACCTAACTTTAATCAGTCCATGATATTAGGTGATCTTCATTTGTCTTCGGTAGATACCTTCCTCACACCAGCATATGATTAAATGATTGCCCAATTTAAGTGTGTCCTTGGTCGCAATAAAATTCAACAATCTCCACAGTCCCATACTGGTATTTTTTCGCATTAAAATGTTGTTGCTTAAGTCAACCATTCAAGGTCATTTGGACAAATGAACTGTTTCATACCTCACTTTATTCATTTCTGTCCTATAAACTAATAATGTTACAATGGTCTGTTACAGTTCTTCAGTAAAACAAGTTCATATTAGTAACGGGAATAAATTACTATACAGTTGACTATTGATTATCGTGTGACAGTATCGAATGACTAATTGACAGTAAGTTGTAAATCATTCATAACAAATGTAAGATACAACCCCCATACTGATAATCAACATATGTTCACTAGTGACTAGCTTCGTGAGGGAATTCTCGGAGTTATACTGAGATGCCGTGATCAGTGGAGCTAATCCATGTCGGGTATAGACAGGTATCTACCTCAGTACAATAGAAGTTGGTTGCGCGATTTCGTGGATTGGTTGGTGTTAGACACCATCACCATTGGATGCTGGCTCAGTGGTCCAGTTGGTTAGGCGTTCGCGCGCGAGACCGAAGGCCCTGAGTTCGAATCCCGCGGACGGGATCGTGGATGCGCACTGATGAGGAGCCCCACAATAGGACGAAACGGCCATCCAGTGCTTCCAGGTTTCCGAAATTGGTGGTCTAACATCAATCGGTTCATGATCTCAATCAGAAACGCAATTAAATTGAATTAGATTGTTTTAACAAGATTTAAATTGAATCTTAATGATTCATCCTTTGGTACATCCAGCTGATGAGTCCCGAATAGCACAAAACTTGCGTCCTGGATTCCACTGCTAGTCACCATCCATCTTTGTTTATAAAAAATAATGTTTTAAATGATATGATTTTGTAGTAGACGGTATAACAACGAGTAGTGTATGCTGTGAACAGTTTAATCAAAATATTATCTATGTATTTATTAGTGTTACTGTTGAATTTCAGATTAAATCTACATACGAGCACTGTAATTATTGTTAGAAAAGATTAGTCACTAAAAGATTCACAGAAAATACTTATTATACTAGTGTAAGGTCAAAAGGTTCAAAAAATAGAAACGATAAATGTAAGATTATTTGAGAATAACTACTTTGATTTTATGTATCTTTATCGTAGGATATAATATAATATTCTGGAAATGACTACGGAATGGATGAAGTTTTAAAGACATGATCAGGTTAATACAAAAAGCAATGTTACATCTAAGGGAAAGAGATATAAGGTAAAATTGTCTGAAATAATATGATTATCATGTTGTGATTAGTGAATAAATTCAATATGAAATTATCGGTGTTCTAGGGAGAATCTGTGACTAGTGGAGTTCAACCGTGTTGGGTGTAAGGCAGTTACCCACCGGAGACGGCTGCGCAATATCGTGGTTTGATCGAAGTCAGATATTAACACCGCTGGATACTGGCTCACTGGACTAGAGAGTAAGCATTCGAGCGCGAGACTGAGAGTTTGGCTCATGCGTACGGAGTCGTGGATGTACACTTCTGAGGAGTCCCATATTAGAACGAAATGGTCGTCCAGTGTTCCTAAGTTTTCATAGATAGTCTAACACTGATCAGTTCATGATTTTAATAAAATGGCATAGTTCAAAGATCATTTTTAGAGCATTTTATACATGAATTACAATGATGTAAGGTATCAGTTTGGAACCATTAATTCTTTGTGGATGGACTAGGACATCTTGTTGATCAGTGATTAATCTATTCAAGACCAAATACTGTACCATTACAGAATAAGTGTAATCATCTTCATCTAGAAAAAAATGAAACAGAGAGCATGGAACAAAAGCACCAAAGTTTACTTTAATGTGTTTATTGTCATAAAAGTGCTAATTTGTCTTATGAGCTACTGATTGAGATAGATACTATTTAATTTAGTTAAATTTACCAGGGAGAGTGTAGATATAAACCGTCTGCAGGGAAAGAATACTTAATGAGTGGGTTCATTAAAAACAGTGATTAAACATTTAACGTCCTCATAATTTCACTAGTGGAATGGGACATAACCAAGGGTGCAAGACATTGATGCAACAAACAAATGATGGTAGTGATTTTATTTCGTGAATAGATTACTGCAAATTATTCTTGAGTCTCAAAAATTTTCTCAGAAAGTAAATTATATACAGAGAAGATTTGGAATGAAATCGTTCCACTGATCATCCAGTGTTGCGGATTCTATAAGAAGACATTTCTGTATATTGGTTTGCATCAGTGAATATAAAAAATGTTTTTATTTATTTAACTTTTCAATCGTTACATAATCGTATTTTGAAACTTCAAGGTTTCAAAACACTTTATTGCATAATGCTTTTCCTATTTCTTTTTATTGAATTACGATATATGTTAAATCACTGCAAATATGACTGTACGACTTGATTAAATGGTATCCTTAAAACAACGGATTTTTCAGCAGAATCTTCTTTAATTCTTCATGAATATATCTGTCAAAGTGAGACTATATATATATATATATATATATATATATATATATATATATATATATATATATATATATATATATATATATATATATATCATTCCGCATAATTTTCAGTCGTAAATTATACATTAAATCTACGTAAAATGTTTGAAAAATGTTCCCTTAAACTATTGTCATGACGAACTGACATTAGTTTAGGTACCATCCGGAACCAAGAAACAACGGACAGTCGTTCTAGCCTAGCTTAGGAATTCTTAGTAGTGTATAAATATAACTCTGCCAGGAATTGAATTCTGAAATGTCAGGTCAAGGTATGAACACTGAGATATTAAGTCACTAACTTGAAATCGATTAGTGAACATTATCAAATTAAGCTATCTTTTGAAATTGAGTGACAATCATTCGATGCCATAAGTCATAATTATTCTACTTCTGAGTGAAATGAAGGCTTTGAGTTGGGTTACTGGAGGAGTTGTGTGCGCGTGCTACATAGGATTCCTGTACGTGAACGAACCGGCTGCTTCATTAGTTCTAAATAGTACCTTAACTGAAGTCAATTCATAAAGAATACCACTAACAAACTAATCTAATCTATACAAAATACAATTGAAAACATACATATTGATGATTGGTTTGTGTATGCATGAGGGCTGATATAACATCGACGATGTTCTTCATTAATCGTATAAAAACTGGATCTTTTCGACTTCTCAGTCTTATGTATGTTAAGTATTTGCTGCATCTTTTGTGATTTATTTACATATATTGCTAGAAAGAAAAGAGAGAATATATGCTTATGTATTACTCGTCAATTTTAAATTTTATTGCATGTATATATCAGCTGATTAAGTAAACCTGTTGAGTTTTGTTAAATCATTGTCTTTCATGAGAAAAAAGTATATAAATTTAGTAAAAGCTTCAGAGTTTATCGGTCTATCTACACACTTCGCACGCGAGACCTAAGGTTCTGGCTTCGAGTTCCATTCGCGGGATCATGGATGCTCACTATATATACTTGCATTGACACACTATCTCGTATTTTTAAAACTCTAAGTTACTAATATCGAGATGTAATTTTTGAATTTTCTGGTTAATGAAATAAATACCGATATTTTAGTGACCTATAACAGTTATAGTAATTGGACAAAATCATATTCAAGTTACTGGAACAAACAAACAAACAAACAAACTGACTAACTGACAATAATCATAATAGTAATTAAATTTGATAAACTAATTTCGGAGTAATTACAAGAAATATGATCTATCCAATAGTAGTAGTAGTAGTAGTAGTAGTAGTGGTAGTAGTAGTAGTAGTAGTAGTAGTAGTAGTAGTAGTAGTAGTAGTAGTAGTAGTAGTAGTAGTAGTAGTAGTAGTAGTAGTAGTAGTAGTAGTAGTAGTAGTAGTAGTAGTAGTAGTTCGAATTATTGGCCAAACTTTAAAATAATATACAAATATTCATGTCTGATATTGATGATTCATTGTATACATTAAAAATATACATATATGTTTGATTAAATAAATACATGATTCGAGATGAACTAACATCATTTGAAAGTGAAATGTATATTAGAGAAATAAATGGTCATTAAATAATTTTGTAGATTATTATTTATTCATTATATAAATTGACTAAAATAAAGAAAAGTTAATGAAATGAATTGTTGTGGTCAAATAAAACATTAGGTCATTAGATAAATAAATGCTTTGAAAAGTATCATTTAAGCTGATATCATAAATGGATCAATGTTAGACCACAATTGAAAACTCGGAAGCACAGGACGGTCGTCCCTTCCTAGTATAGTACTCCTTAGCAGTGTGCATCCACGACTCCGCACGTGGGACTTGAACCTAGGACCTTCGGTCATTCAATAATTTGAATTGATTGAAGTTAGACATTTATATCGTTGGATGCCGGCTCTTTGGTTTGGAGTTTAAGCGTTCGCATGCGAGACCTAAGGTACCGGATTCGAGTTCCATTTGCGGGATCGTGGATGCGCACTAGTGAGTAGTTCCATACTAGGACGAGACGACCATCCATTGCTTCCAGGTTTTTAATGATGGTCTAACATTGATCCATTCATGATATCAATATAAACTCAACAATCGCCACAACTCAATACTACTAAGTATCATTTAAGCGTGACCAGAGTGTTTGAAATATACTGTGCAAATAAACTACGAATTTGTTCATAACAACTATGTCTTATCAGTGCACTATTGAAAGTTATCTTGTTATACACCTTATCAGTAAATAATGGATTTAATTCTATGCGAATACTTCAAAGAAATCTTGAACAATGATTCGAAAACTATCCTTGATTTTTATTTTAAAAAAATAGTGATTTTCTATTCGACGTTAGTTGATAAAGTGATTTTGAAATACAAAAGAATTTCCACACAACCGTCTCATTTAAAACTTCCTTTTCTGTAGATAGACGATCGTTGAATGCAGAGGATACTCATTGAAAATAAAATAAATAGAAATAGATCTGAAGATAAAGTTAGACTACTCAATGAAGAAAAAAAATTTTTCGATGATATCATCGCTTACTGAAACATCAACATGATATTAATAATTATTTATCTAGTATTTTGTAGGTTTTGTGTTCTCTGTGATGTACAGTATAACCATGAATCGTTCATTGTCTGTTTAGACAACATCAGCGTATATTTAAGATGGAAGTGATCTATTAGGACTTCTTCACAGTTAATTAGTAGATATTCCTCTTGACCTGAGATATGAGCGATTTTTGTCCAAGCTTGCATGGTCGTTGACCTTTCCCCTGACCTGATCTCTAGACTAGCATTTGTTTGTCTTTTCCCTTATTATTCAATATATTAGCTCGGTTTTGTTCTGTGTTTATTGATTAACGTTTGACAAGAGTGCTGAGCTTCTATAAATACCATGGTTCGCTTTGTTATCCTTCTGTCCAATATTTCGACCTTTTCTCGGTCGACATTACGTCCGTAGTTGTTTGGTTTATTTTCGTTTGTCAGTGTTCCTTTTGGTTTGAACAACATTTATTGTAAAGATTTTGTGGGCTTATAATAATCTATTTTTTATGCAGTTGGATCTTTTTAGAGATGCCTCTCTGTTCATGTTCAAAAGTCACTCAACTGCTTTTATGTTATCTTGGAAATATTCTTTATGTAGAGTATTAATTATATTTTGATTTTCACCGTTGGTTTCGTATTCGGTGGTAAATTTGGTAAACTAGTCTTGATTAGCAGTCTTCTAAATATATTCATAAGGGCGTAGTGTATTAGAAAACAATAGGATTGAGTGGTAATGATTTCTTAACTTTCAAATATCAAGAGATAATTACATAATTATCCAAATGTTGATGGAAAATAATAAAAATTACAGGTAAGGTGTACCTGTCAAACATGAAAAAGATGAAGAAGAAAGTACTACAACTTAATAAAAACTCTTGAACGTAATAATCACAGCTAATGAATGGGTAAGAAAAAGTAATTCTACAGGGTGTGACCACGAAAGAATGAGAAGTTGAATATGATGGTTTTGCATAAATTGTTCAGGCACGAATTTTTGGATAAATAAAGCCTCTGTTTTGCACAAGTATTTTGCTTCTGTTCCTTTCATATACGTTCGTTTAATCATACTGATGATTTTGAAAGATAATTTTCGTAGGATGGAGTGAACAATATAAACAACATAAACCAACTATTTGGAGATACTGGGTACAATCAATGAAAATCCATACAACATTCAAATTTTTATGCCTAAATTTGTTTAACTGAGATAATCCCTCAAAATTCTATTGATTCAGTCTTTTTGAAAATAAAAACAACTTGAAATGTTATTGGTTATTTGTATGGTTTCGTGTAAAAGAGAAGTGATCTTCGCTGTTTGACTCACAATGACCATATGTCTTGATAGTTCAGTCGATAAACTCAACAAGGATAATAATAAAGGAGTAAATAGAAATAACTAAAATAGAAAGTAAAATCAATAAACAAAAGTCTTCCTTCTTAATAATAGAAATAAGTAAAGTCATGACATCGTCAATATTGTAAACAGGAAACATACACAACAGGTTAATTACTCATCACGAGACCTGAAAGTCCCGGGTTCGATCTTTTGAGGGTTTCTAGGTGAGCACTACTAATGAGTCATTATTAAGATGAAATAGCCATATACTAATTCTATATTTTTCAAGAATTATATAATTAAGGTCATTTTGTAATGTAAATTTTAGAAAAATGAACAATATATGTTCATTTAATCGGTCACCATATTAGTAATTAATGATTAATTTAAACATCACAATCGTACAGTAAGTCATTAATGCCAAACACAATTCATTGATGTGTTCTTTATTTCTGATTCTTGGTGGTTTTTACCCAGACATCATGAGAAGTGTTAACCCCATTCGAATTGTACTCACACCTTTCTATGTAGTAAAAACTGGAATAAAACCTATTTTTAGGACCTCTTACTGATGACGTCCAATTAATGAACATATTCGGTGAATTTAGAGGATTATTTGAATTACACTAAAATGAAGTGGAAACTAGTACGATTGCAACAATTTACGATTTACTAAAATTCACATCACTGAAGAATCGGTCGATGGTTTTATTAAACAGTAGTACTAGCAATTGCTCGAACAATTATAACTAAATGTAGAATACTATGTCTTAAAGAGTACTTCTACTTCACTTTCATTTAACTGCACCATCCTAGGAGCTCCCGTTTCGTGGATTGATTTCTAACTCTGTGACTGGGAGAAGAAATTGGAGAGATGGTTGGTATATGACGTTTCATTTATTTGTAATTAGTTTTACTTTTCTTTCTATCTATCTCTTATTAACTTCATCTCCATATTTGTATGACACATACTTAATTTGGTATCCAGTTAAATCAAATTCTATGCCTAACAGCTATATAAAAAGTACTTTGAGTTAACATACAGATTAACACTTTCACTACATATGTGAAATTGAGTAAATGAATCGGAAAAAAATATCATTGTAAACAGTTACTTACTTATTTACGCCTGTTACTCCAAATGGAGAATAGGCCGCCCCATCAGCATTCTCCAACCAACTCTGTCCTGGGCCTTCCTTCCTAGTTCTATTCAATTACTGTTTATTCTCTTCATGTCTATCTCTATTTCTTGACGTAATGTGTTCTTTGGTCTTACTATTTTCCATTGGCCTTGAGGATCCCACGTGAGGGCTTGCCTTGTGACGCAGTTGAGTGCGTTCATCAATGTGTGATTGTAAACAGTATTGAATATATTATTATTTCGAAACATTATCAATGTAGATTGTTGTGACTTTGATATAATTTCGAATTGCATATGAGTGATAGAACTTTCAGAGGAGATAGAAAGAAAACTAATGAATTAAATACAAATTAACACTAACATCAAACAGATTGTAAATCATTCAAAGATTAGAGAAAAACTATTCAAAGACTTAAGATGATGTAAAATAAAATTATGATGCAATAATTATCATTTAAAAGAGTTAGACTGTAAGATTATGAATTCATATTCTTTATTTGTACGTGATATTATATGACAACCATACCATAACCTGATTGTTTAAACTAAAGTAGGTTGTTTTTCTGGGAGATCATCGTTAGGGCGTTTGTTTAGAAGGTCGTAACCGCAGTACAATCAAGTAACATTAAGAAATATATTCTTATGATAGTCAGTAGTCAAAGTAAGTTCATATGCTATTTATTTGTTGCAGATCTTGGAGTTTATGTGGGTCATTTGGTTTAGGAGTTCCGGTTTATCAACTCTCAAAGTAAAACTTCCATAACAATAGGACCTATTCAGTGATCTACAATTAACTTTTGACTTATTTTTTTAATCGGAAGAATAGTTGGCTCACAAAATGAGTAAAGAAGTGGTGACTAAATTACATGAGGGTTTTAATAATTACATCTTCGCCATCTTTATCATTACCAGGGTATTTACAGATTTATGTTACTCAAGCTCATATACTTTGGTTGCATATCGAAAGTGAATATACAACATAAGAAATAAAAATATAGTTAATCATACCCCTGATAACGAAGTAAAACCTAATGTCAGTTACTAAGGTCCATAGTCTGAAGTATATTCCTCAATAAAACTGAGTTGGCCTGCATGTTTACTCATACGATACCGTTGAGTCTTTAGTAGCGATTGCATTTAATAGGAAATGTTATTTCTTAAACCTAATCAAAACAAACTGTCACAAAATTTATCGACTCGGCTGATAAGAGGACTTCTTTATTTATCAACTCCGCCTGGAGCCCCTCTTGGGCTACTGCCGGTCCCAAGCCCGGATAGAGGAGGAGGGTTGGGCATGGGGTTATCACTACTCATTATTTCTAAGTGACTTACGTTATTCTTTATGTTTATGTTTTTACCTTGAAATATGGATTAAGATAAATTGTGTGTAATATATTTTT